CAAGGGTCAAAGTTAAAAATACCACTGCGCAAGAGTGACAAAAAAACCACGTACGACGGGCGACGCACGACGGCAGATATGGAATTCCATAGTCTCAGGATATCCATGTACATATGATTTCCAATAGGAAAACGGTTCTTGAGAAGAGACTAGTCTTCTTCCCGCACGATACCCAGCACGATATGGCAAAGGGGACCCCCACCTTCAAAGTGATGCACAATCTATATACCCTATAGGGCTGTTGTGTCTACCCATGGTCTACCGCACTCCCTGGAAATCTGAAAGGAATTCCAAAGATTCCGTCAAGACAGAAGAATACACAATAGAGGGGGGCCCCTTTGCCACGTATCGTGCATCAAATGTCCCGTGTAATGCCTTGTAAAAGCTTCCCCTGTTGCGTCGGACTTCACTGCTTTTGAACAAAAAAATATTCCGCTGCGATTATAGCCTTCATTCAAGTCGAGTTTACCCATTGTGTTGTGTCAAACAAAGTTTGCGGCTGAGCGGTACTTCGGCATGGGCTGTCGCCAGAAGACACGGCTTCGGTGCCTCCTTCTTGTCACTGTGTGGTAATTTCAAGCGAATGCCAGTGACAACCTTACCTTTCCTCACCTGCAGTAATGCAGAACAATCGCAACTTACATTGTTTTGTGTGTGAATCTAAAAAGTTGTGTTCGGACAGTCAAAAGAAGTCTTCTTGGCACACTGGTACCGCGTCTAACTAGAGCAAAACACATGGTTGCGTGTTCGAATCATCTGTTAGGGTCGTCATTGCCTCATTGCAAGTTTGTCGGGAAACCCATTGTTTTAAAGTACCAAGACGACTACTGAGCTTTGATCCATACAGAAACGCAAGGTTGAAAGTTGTATGGCAAAGACCAAAGAATATCTTTCTCACAGTACTCTTGAATGTGGCCCAAAATATTTCAGTCTTAGGACACATTTCGTTCCAAACGTAAGCAAATGACTAGTACTAGTATACAAAAATTGCTACAAACAATCATTGTTATGAATTCCGCGCTGCTGTACGAAATACATGTAATCCTTCGACCTCCCCCCTCCCCCCATCATCGGCGGGCTAGCCGGCTAGCATCTCGCTAAGCAAATTGAAACTGAACACAATTTTAGATCGTGACTCATTGAACTCAATCAGACAAACTGTTGATTAAAATTGGCCAGCATAAGACATTTTTTGGAGCCGGGCAAGTTCTGTTGATGAATTTGCGAAGAATTTTCGACATCAGCTGGTTTTCTTATCCATGACCACCGCACGTGCACCGAGTACCAACCAATTCATCAACGACGAGCATCACGTGGTTTGAACGGACCTATCAAAAGACTAGCTGACTGAGTGTGTTTGTACGATACTGTCTTGTACTCACGACATCTCCCGGCAAAAAATGAACACCTTAATGTAGGAAATAAGGGCCCTAAAACATCCCAGATATGCCGAATAAGACCAAGAAAGATAAGGTGAGTTATTTGAGAATATGGATCTTCGGGAGAGACGTAGTTTCCGTGTATTTTTGAGCTAGGAATGCCAACGGAAAGCAGATGATTAGTGTCACCATTCATTTCGCATTGTACGCTTGCGTTGCAACACGTACATGTACTTGCTGAGTTGCTCTGTACTGTACATGTACATGTACACACTGGCTATGTGCGTACCTGACTACATTGCGATGTACATCATACATCGCAATGAATTACGTGCTGTTTGTTGTTTGCAGATCGGTAGGCCTTTAGTATGATTCTTGTACATAGTACTAGCGCGGTGTATCATACACATTAATTCACAGACCTACATCAGGCTTTAGTATTAAGTATTATTAAAACTTACGAAATGGCTATTGACTGTACGTAACCATTGGTAACCTATAGTATAACTTAGTGCCAGAAGTACTACTACAGTACTAGTAGTAGGCCTAGGCTATCCCTGGAAATGCAGAAGTGTGTAGCCTGACGTCCAGCCCGCTTCGGACCCCACAGCTCTGGGGGTATAACAGTAGCCCAATCAGCATGGTACAAATGCTTGTCTGCAATCCTGACGAACTGGAATCAAATCCATCCATATGGGATTTTTTCCTCCTTTGTTTTATTTTATCAGACTTTCGATCCATAAGTTGTAGACTGGTCTGGGTCCTATTTCCACTGCACGCATCTGGTACAAGAAAGTAGACAGAAACCTATCTAAATTTCTGTAACAACAGCCACTGTGTAACACTTAGCAGTTGTCACTGCTACACCATGCTGAGTTGATTATCCTATAAATGGATTTCCTTCAAAGGCAAATCAACTCAGGATGTTCAGGGTAAAATAAATCTGTGCAGCATTTAAGATTGCGCTGAACAATATTATTGGTTTCATGGTTGTGGAGTAGTGTTTCGAAAAGGGAAGTTAACCCCCTCACGCCGGGACGCATTAAGACACGGCGTAAAAATTGAAATCCTCAGCCCACTTTTCAGCCATTATTCTCTGTCCACGCTCGAGCGAACATGGTGAAAGAAGGCAGACCCTGGCTCTTGTGTATATGGTTATTGGTCTTTGTGTGTAGCCCAGAAATGAAAAGACGGAATTTGCATCATAATCACCAGCTTCACAATAGTCACCACTTTGAAAAGAGGCAACGGGAATGTGGAAGCTTGAATAGAGCCGCAGGCCACCGAACAATCAGCCTTTTCACCGTGTAATTCAAAGCGTGCAGGGCACGCTGGGACACAAAGCGAGAATTTGCGGTTTAGCAGGTGGCCTTCGTGGCCAAGCGAGGCTGGAATTCTTGGAGTCGGCTTTCGGAAAGAAATTCCCGTCGAGAAGGGGTTAAGTTGGAGAAATTATATACATGTAGGATCAACCAATCGCACAGGCCAGACAGTACTTCAGGCAGTCATCATGGTCATGCAGACTGGATGATCGCGCACAACATTATTACTTGCAGGCATACATGTAAGGTAAGCCTTGGTGACCCTAGCCCAGGTTGGACGACGTCTTCATTAATACATTGCAACTAACATCCAGGGTATACATCTGATTGAGTTCAAACCTCACATTTGTAATGATAAGGAGTCTCTTAACATGCATGCGAAGTTTCCAAAAACTTGAGCACGACACAGCTGAGTTCTTCACCTTCACCTTGGACTTGGCAATCAAAGTCTAATGATCCCACAACAGGGCTTCATTTTAATAAATACGAGGAGAGCTGAAAATCGCTCTCCTTTATTCACTTTGTTGATTTAAGGAGAGCGATTAAAAATTGCTCTCCTTAAATCAACAAAGTGAATTAAGGGGAGCGATTTGCTCTCGCTAACAAAAATCAAGTTAATGTAAACATACTCAATAAAATTAACATAATTTAACTTCTTTTACTGAGTTCAATGAGTTAATGCATCTGTCAATTGTAATCCCGGCCCTGGGGGACCCGGGACTTTTGAAAATGTAGCCGGGACGTACCCGGGGATGTAAAAAAAAGTGCCCCGCCGGCCGGGACGATAGCAGGGACTTGCCTGGGGTTGTACAATGGCTGCCCCGCTGACCTGGGACGATAGCAGGGACTTGGCGGGGGTTGTACAATTTGTTAAACCGTCTATCGGTAAAATTTTATAGCACTTAGCTTCAATTTCCCGACAGATGAAAACCTGACAAAGATGATGCCTCATTTTGGGATCAGTGCGTGCAAAATACAGACCTTTCTTTTTTTACAAATACTGTCGCCACTTTCTATGGACTGCTAAATTATTAAAACATGTGTAATTTAATCTTTCAACCAAGTAGCACTGGTCTTTTGTTATGGTGATACATTTCAAATCATTCTAGATCAATCTTCAATAAACGAATGAAGTGTTGTGATAATTGTTAATTGTCTCATGTGCTGGCACTGGCCATGGCCACATGTACATAACGAGCGTTTCAATTGGTCAGTTGGTCTCCACACAGCGCGTAACAAATTTTGCTATTGGATGAATTTCCATAATTATTTCTGAGACGTCCGCAAAGAAAGATTGTAGCGATTTGGGTCGTCGGCCCCCTGATTCTGGTACTTCAGATATGCGGACGAATGTTTCGCCAAAGTTTGGGATAATTATAGCAACTGCCCCTTGCTTTGCTTTATTTTGGTGGCATTTTACCTGCACTTACGGCGACCGACTCAATGTCATCTTAGCACCAGAAGAGTAGGGCACTTTTAGAAATTAATGAAAGTTATTAGTTATTTATTTTTAGTTGTACTGTTGTTGCGACACAACCCCGCATGCTGGGGCAGGGATGGTGTAGGGATTGGTCACAACTTGAATGCCCATCCGGGGAATACAAAAAAAGGTGCCCCGCCCTGGCCGGGCAAATTACGGGGACTTGGCCGGGACTATCACGATGGCCCTGTTTTATCTGCCCCGCTAAGTCCCTGCTAGTACCGGGTCCCCCGGAACCTGGATTACAATTGACAGGTGTATAACTTGACTAGTCTCCTCGCTCGCCCGACAATCCATTTCGGCGCTACAGGGGGCTCTGAATTGACTGCGCATGTGCATCCTTTCTTTTTGGTATTTTAAAACGTATCGCATGTCCACTGCAGATTGTATTCACCATCCCTTCCTGTGCTCACAATACTACTTCGACCAGTGCATTTTTGTATAGAACACTGGGCACATTACCCACCAGAGACTTTTTTCTTTCCTGTGACATACTTTCTGTTCTGTTCTGACAAGCGAACATTGTTCTCACGCTCGAACCACACGAACACGCAACAGGATCACACACCATCCTCCAGCCACTACGGGGTTTTTCACAAACTCACCTCTGCTGTTCACAAATGGCTGAGAACGTCACAGTAGCGCCTGAACTCGACCCTTTCTGAGACAGAGGTCGGCCGGGCGTGGCCGCGTGCCTCCATGGAATTCCATAGGCTCACCCACACGCACTAGGCCCGCCCACATGCGCTATCACGTTTGTGTGTTGCGATGTGGGATTCATCAAGCACGCGCGCACAACTCAAAGACTTTGATCACCAGCCCTTGTGTTTTAACCCTAAAAGTCCCAAATCCTCCAATTTCGATTTTACATATACCCTTGGGGGTTAGGGTTAATACATTCAATTTTTGGACTCGTTTGCTACTGTCGACCCAACAAGATTCAAGGGGCTTGTCATAAATCAACATCTGCTGGTTTGAAAAACCATGCACTCCTTAAATTTTCAAGGAGTGCTTTTTTTGGCTCTCCTTGGAAAACATTAAGGAGCGTGAGCGCGCGCTCCTTTAAAATGAAGCCCTGCCACAATGAAAAGTAAACATTTTCTGCAACAATCAGCAGTCTGGATAGTGCATGCATGTATTATTAAGGGATACTAAACATTGGACAGTTATTATTAGTGCAAGTGGGACAATCTTAGCTAGGCAAACATATTTTGAGTTGCACAAAATTTCCTGCCCGTTGCTGTTGTTACACATGCATGTAAAAACACTGAACCCCTTGACTGAAGAATCCAGTTTCAAGAAAGGTCTGGGAACTAGACAAATCTAGAAGCTTCTTGGTACATGTATTTGTACACTGAACCCCTTGACTGAAGAATCCAGTTTCAAGAAAGGTCTGGGAACTAGACAAATCTAGAAGTTTCTTGGTACATGTATTTGTACACTGAACCCCTTGACTGAAGAATCCAGTTTCAAGAAAGGTCTGGGAACTAGACAAATCTAGAAGCTTCTTGGTACATGTATTTGTACACTGATCCCCCTTGACTGAAAAATCCAGTTTCAAGAAAGGTTTGGGAACTAGACAAATCTAGAAGCTTCTTGGTACATGTATTTGTACACTGATCCCCCTTGACTGAAGAATCCAGTTTCAAAAAAAGGTTTGGGAACTAGACGAAAACAAATCTAAAAGCTTCTTGGTACATGTATTTGTACCTACATCTGTTTATTAGTACTTGGGCATGATCAAATTGAATGTTTTGAATGTGGTGCCAATGTAACCAGATGCTTTAAAAACACTGAAAAATAACCAGAGATTTTACTGTCTCTTACAGTCTCTGTAAGCCATTCATTTTGCACAGCGTATCCATGTTCGGCTACATGGATGCTGGGTTCAAAGTGCACTTGCCTGTCAAGGACTGAGGTATAGATGCCTGAATAATACACGTCGTCGTACAGCGGTACTGTGTATAAATGAAGCATCTCAAATGCCATCTGTTTTACAGTCCATCACTGGCTGCAGACGTGAAAGTGAAATGGTTGCGTAGGTCACACTCACTTGTGCAGGAAATTCCAGACTTGTATTGCTACAAATGAGCAATAAATTTACTCCTGTAAGAAATAATGCTTGATCTCATTATAGCAGACTTGAAAGTTACATGTACATGTACAGTATGTACTAGTACACATGTAATTGCTCAATCGTACAGCTCACACTATGTTACTGGTTAGTACTGGAAGATGGGAGACTTGAAGTAGTAGTTGACATGGATGTCGGAGCTCAAGTGAATGATCGTATTTTGATTCAGAACTTAAATTGAAGAAGACATATCATTTATTCAAAGCTGCATGTGTAACAACTGAGTGTGGGTATTATACATAAAGTTCATGTACAGATGTACATTTACATGTAGGCCTACCCATACTGTAGTACATGCATTAGAAGCTAGGACTTGTGTTGAACTTCAGTTTAAGGCCAGAAAGATAGGATTGTAATGTTGTGAGTATGGTAAGTTCTGTCCAGAGAGCAAGAAGGTGCTGTTTATTTGGAAAGTACATTTCTCCTGAAGAATTGATGGAAAATCACTTAAGTTACTCACATGTAGTGCAAATTGGTAACTTGGCATGTGCTCTGTCTTCAGTGACAGCTCTGTGTTGAAGTCAATACGTGTACATACATGATCTAAAAATGTGCAGATCTGTAGAGAAATCTTTTTAAGTTGATCCCCTTTGGTGATAGAGCGGCTTTCTTTACCACCAAATACTGGATCCAGAATTTTTCTTCTGAACAGAAACAAACATACATGTACATGTACATTAGCCCTTAGTTCTCCTCCATCTACATACATGTACATTGGAGAACTGTACATACGTGTAGTGGTATTTCCTCTATGTTGTAACTGTGCCTGTTCTCTTTTTGCTGATTTTGTTGAACTGCAGGCTGTGAGCAAACCAGCAGGAGGGAACAACAAGAATTCCAGCAAAGATGGCATGGATGGTGCTGACGAGGTAATCACCAGACACTCATTGTCCGGATCATGACACAGGGCACCGTTGAGTGCTTTGTGGGCCAAGGTTTTAGCTTGCATTTGAAAATCTGAAAAATACCCAGGCATCCAGTCACCTTGCTCAAAGATGCATCTGTTTTCGTGGTCCCCCTGCTAAAGGCGTGCTTAAATTTAAAATTTTTTTGTCATTACTGTCTCTGGTCATTCTCAAATACTTTTCTCATTTTGTTGTTTGTTTATATAAAATATGAATTATTCAGGTAAATTGGATATTATCACATGGCACAAAATATATTTGTATATACACCTGTTCATGCAATGGGCACACACATAGGCATACATGTTCAAGGCTAAATGCCAAATATGTAGACATACATGTACATGTACAATATGTGTATCAGCAGATGGGGAACTTGGAACACCTCTGCAGGCAGTGTGGCCTTTGGCATCTTGCCTGACAGTCTACCTTGCCATTGGCTAGAATAATCACAGATGCAATGTTCTCCAGCTTATATAATTTTATTTTGCAGAGTGTAACATCAACACTTTATACATTCTTTCAAGGGTTTCATGCATTATTAAATTGAATGCTTTGAGTGCCATCTTTTTTGAAAATGTCAGCATCAAGCCATCGTACAATTGGACACAGGTTTAAATTAGGGTTTGCAGTTATGAAGGAACACACCGATGTTTTCAAACAGTAAAGTACCGGGTACCTTGGATAGCAGGTTTGTTTTGTGTGTTGACTGAAAATCTGAGATGAACCGGGATTTACCGGGATGCACTGCTCACTGCATTCAGACACTTTGCACTGTGCAGTGTGAACAAAAATATTCCACTCAGTTCCTGTTCGCTGGTGGATTGTAGAGATTTCAGGAAGGTTCCAAGCAGAAATACCCAGGGAATAAAGCATGATTACTGGGGGAAATGCCAGGTCACAATGTTTGCACAAGATTACCCGTTCAGCAAATAATGCACAGCTTGGTTCAGTTGCAGACCTTCACAGTTAATTATAAAGGATTTCATTTTTTCAGTGTTTGTTTTGTGATGCCTTCAAGGGCTTCTGTAATATGCATGTATTTCTTTCTGTGCAGTCTTTGTAAGCACTCCTTTGTCTTTCATTTAACCTGATTTTTTTCAATTTTCATGCCATTTTAAGGGCATGCTGTGCCTTTATGATTTTTATTCTAATATGAATTTTTATATTTTTAGATAAAAGTGTATGTCATCCAAGACAGAAACTTCAGTGTTAAAAGCTACGTTACACAAATGAACAAAATATAGTTGCATACCAGTATATACCGTGTTTTTTATTTTCAATTTTATCATGTTTATGAGGGCAAAATAAAGCTATGATTTTAGGTGCCAAGTAATGGAGAAAGTCACACCACACACGTACTGTACATGTACATGTACAGTACGTGTATGGACTGTGTATGGTATGGTGAAGACATGGGAAGTCCCAATTTCAAGTTAAGGTTGGTCCCTTACACTAATATTTACATGCATGAACATGTACATATCTGCACACGTATACATGTACATATACCAGTATGTACGTACATGTACATGTATGCACAGTCATGCCGGAATGAAAGATTAAATATCCATCCATTATTACACGTACACCAAATACTTGCCCCTAAGTTAGTGATGGCACTGGCTATAGCATGGGAGGAAGGTATGCGTGGTTTGCTCTTTGTAGTGTACCGCCAAATACAACATGTTAGGAATCCCTACAGAGGCACAGCTAGGTGCCGTGTATGCCATCATGTCATTTACATGTAGCTCTTGGCTTCTGCAAACTGCTCCTGCCAGCTGCTCAAGAACATTTAGTTTTTTATTTGCTTTCTCAACTTAAATATGCCTACATTTTTACATGTAAGCCATTCAGATAATTTCACACAAAGAAATGTACTGATGATTCTCTAAATTTTGCTCTTTCTGTCTTGGGTCAGTATTCCTGGGCAAAAAAGAGAAATAGTCTGTGATAAAAATTTGAAAGGCAAGTCTGTGTAATTTGTGTTTAAAGTTTTAGCATTTTGTTTGTTTACCTGCAAAGAAAATGACACATGAACCCAGCATGAATCTACCTATTGTTTTTATTCTTTTTAAAATTTTTGTATTATTTTTTAAGGGATGCACAGGTCTTGTTGACAGTCGTGTTTGTTGTAATTCCCTGAGCATTCTCAAAAATTAGGTTGATGGTAGGAATCCTTCTGGTATGGTTCCAAGGCTGTGAGGATAAAGTGCTTGAAATGAAAGACGAGTCGGAATCCTAAGTAAAGTGACATTTCCAGTAAGCCTGGTTGTGCGAAACCCTTGCACGCTTCCTGTTATTTAAAGGCCACGTGATTTCTCTGGGATCTTACTGTGCAGTTTTTCAGGCCTTTTTTTAATTCTCTGCATGCCCTGCCTGTGTTTGTTAGCCTTGGAAAACAGAGAGCAGTGCTTCAATTGTCTTGTATTAGAAGAAAACATGGTTGACAAGTTAACATATTATGGCTTGAACCCTTGAAAATTCCCACCATACAGCAATATCTGTTGCATTTGAATGGGTCACGAAAGAAAGAAATTACTGGAACCATGGAGCTACTGTATATTAAATTAGTATTGCTTCACGACTGATAATAATAATAATGATAATTGAAAATTTATAATGCGCCGTTTCCTTAAAAATGATCAACAGTGCAGTACAAGTTAACGTAAAAAACAATTAATTTAAGAAATGAAAGGATAAGGATAAATGAATGAATGTCACCGTGCTAGTACCAAAACCACAGTATGGTGATACATGTACATCTGCCCCGCCAACAGGGAGAACCTAACCCTGCTGGAATCGGTGATGTCTCGATCTTTCCTGAGGACAGATGCCTCTAAACCTACCTACGATAAAAGAAAAGTAATTGTACCAGACACGGTGACACTAAAATAACGAATCACAGCTAAACCTACGTTAAAATAAAAAATAATAATAACCCTTGTACATGTGGATAAAATAAATTAATAAAATCACGAATCGTGCAGTGTAATATATCACTGTACAAATGCAACATTAAAAAGGTGAGTTTTCACTTTACATTTAAAAATGGCAAGGCTTTGCTCACACACTGTATATGCCATGGCAGAGGCCTACCATACCCAGGGCTCGAAATTGGGCTAATCATCATGGGAGCAACTACTTGTTCCTAAGACTGCCAAATTTGTCTTTTTATGGGGGCAAGTAGCTCCCAATACACTTTTAAAGACATATGTTCAAGAAATGAAAGAAAAGCCCTGGTCCCTGCTGTTGCTTTTGTTTAAATTAATGACACTGATAACCTACCGTACGGCTTAGACTTTGGCAGGTATTAAAGCCTTGATCAATTTGTTATTTTTGTGGGTTGCCTGCAACATACAATTTAGTAGTGACTAAAGATCGTAAAGCCCGTTCCCTCCTTTGGCGCTATATGATCTTTGGTAGTGAGTACACGACCAACTGGAATCTCAAACGTGCTTAGTGACACTACGCAAAAAGTTGGGCACCAGGCCTTTCTAACGTGCATATGCACGCAAACGTAAAAGGGAACTAACTGCTGCAATCCAGCATTTTTCAAACAAGAGGATTACGCTGAAACTTTGGTTTCGCTGGTTCCAACTATTTTGTAGCATGATTGGATCCAGCAAAACTGAAGTCTAAGCCAAATCCACTTGTTTGGCTTGAATTTACGCATGAGGGGCCAGTTTCCATACAGTCGTGACACTGGCCGCAGGTATGCGTGTGTGTAGACGTTCGTGTATGTGCATACATGGCATGCGAGACTGCGGCATGCGCTTGGTGACATCGTAAACAAAATTTTACTGTGTTATGGTTCCGTACAAGAATGATCCGAAGTGAAATAAAAAAGTTCAGGTATTTTTCATAACAAAAGTAGAAGCAAAATGTAAATATGTTCAGGTACAGGTCATTATGACTTACGGGCGCATTTCTAAGGCCAGCGGGCGCATTTTAGCTACCTGTGCCCGTTAATTTCGAGCCCTGCATACCACACTAGTACATGCCTTGGTAAATAGTTGCTTTAATGTCACTAAGCACATGACACCTGTATGTTTATGTTAAGTTTGCTCACTGACAGCATGTTATGTATGAACTGAGCTACATCCAACGAAGTACAATCTTTGAAACAAAAACAAGATATAATGCTGAAAAAAGGGGGAAAACTGCTAAAAAGGGAAGAAAACATGATGTGCTCTGTAAGATTCAGACAAACCGTTGGGGACTACACTTAGAAAAGGGAGCTGAAGTAAGCCCGCATCTTTAGTGTATGCGCTGGTAAAACAATACACATTAGAAAGTGCAGTGTACATATCACTGATGCATGAACAGCCTGTCCATCAGACCTGGGGAAAAGTAGGTCATGCAGTATGCATATTGAGCCTTCTGGCATGACCTACGTATAGGTATCATGTATGGATGGACACCCAGGAGTCTTGGACACCAGGGAAAGAAAGACTGTCCTGTGGTTGCTGACCTTTCAGCACCTGATTTAATGAAGTCCTTTGACCTGTTTACTTTGATTAAATTATAGGGTGGTATTATACAAAATAAGATCTCACACAAGTATTGCATTTAGTATGTCATTGTATTATATGTACATGTACACACTGTAGGGACCATGCACTTGTACAAGTTTACATTGTACTCACAAACCAAAAAACAAAACATGTCACGTACACATGTAATTAATGGTCCAACTTTTAAGTTGTTTAGATTACATTTGATTGATATATTTTTAACATTAAAGCTGTCTCTTTTTGGGGGTGTCTTGGACATATTTGAAATAATACAATGCTGGGGAAACATCTTGGCAGTTTTATACCCCATGACGTGTCATTTAATCAAAATGACAAACTTAGAAATGTTTTATTTGTTTCATTTCACAAAAAAAATAAATGCCTGATGAATGAATGAGGTTGAGAAATTTTGCCCTCTCTTTCATTGTACCTTTACATCAGACAAGACATCGCACAACAAATGTGCCACCTCCAACACAGCTGACCAGGGCCAAGGGAACCGGGCCACTGGTTAAGAAGGAGAAGAGACAAGGCTCCTCCAGATTCAACATCAGCAAGAATAGAGAACTTCAGAGGCTTCCCCTCCTCAAAGGTTAGTTTGAGAGATGCAAGCATCCAGTGGATTTTGTAAGTCGTTACAGCAGTGGCCAGAAAACTTCAGACAAGTGTCCCATGTGATGGTTTAATGTATGTACGGTGTACTGTATGTGTGTACATTCTTCTAGCCTGGGGTGTCTAGACTGTTAGTGTACATGGTGTCTGCATGTATATGTACATAATATCAACCACGTGCACAAGTGTGATTCATCATCTTTGATCAGCTTTTTCAAGTCATGAACTGCAGTATGTTTGATTGTGTGTCTTTTTTGTTTGGTTTTCACCTGTTTTCGTTAGGGTTTGTGCATGTTTGAAAAAAGTCGACCTGTTGCCATGGAGTGGAATGAATGATTGCCTGATTACTTGGGCAACCAAAAATTGTGACCCACTCTGTGAAAATGATTCTTAAGTCGCTAGATCCACTTGGGAGTAAAAAGTTCTGTAGAATAATTTTGCACTGTGTAAATCAATCGGAACCCACAGCATTTTTCACCAAGGAGTATCCACTTTCATCAGGATGCCAAACTGAATCCTACATCAAAAAAACTCAATTTGCTCTTTCCAATATAAATGAAAACTCAAAAAGTGACTCTGGTGACTTAAGACTCATTCTCACAGAGTGGGTCACAATTGGTCTGGGCAACCCCGTGAACCGGCAGGAGTTGCCACCAGCAACTGTACCAAAATCATCATTGTTACAACAGTCACAACTACATGTACCAATCGTTATAGTTTTTACAATGATGAGGCCTGAACACACAGACGATTAGCTATTGTTTTGCCCTCACCTGAAGGATTTTACATCTGAAATCTCCTGAATGTTTGTCCACACTGTCAGTCTTAAATACACCCGAACATGCATCTGCACATTTTGTCTTTAATTAAACCAAAGGCTTATTTCTTGAGGCCGATTTTTTTTGGTACATGTAGTTTACATACATGTATGTGCCATGGTATCATTACTGTGCATTAGAAGCATACATATACCTTGGTTTTTGTCCTCTCCTTCCCAGTTGTTTCATCATAGTTGGGAAATTCACCTTTGAACAGCAAAGTAACATCCACTAATTCTTTGCAAGTCAAGTAAACGGTACATGTACATGTTCAAGCACTTTTTAAAATTCTTGACAGCAAGCTGCTCTGTTCAATCAGGCACACGTACAAGTTACAGGCATAAGGCCATTTTTTTTATAACATTGCTTTTCAAGCTGTTGTTTACAAGTTGCAACCCTTAGAAAAAAGCCATGATTGTGTCGGCCAGAATATGGTGAGGAGGCATTGCAAGTTGATGTGCTGCACTGGTGCTGGTGTACACAGTACATGCTGGGGTTATTGCGCAATCGCCACACTTGTGTAGTACATACACTTTGGGTGTGCATGTTTACTGAACCTCTACATGCTACAGTACAGGCTTGTACAACTGCCACATCTGGACATTGTTAAGCAGTTACAAGACATTCTAACAAATGAATGAAATTTCCATGCCGGATGGACTTTTCTTTTTTTTCTGCGTTGGTTTTTGTTTTTTGTGAAGGTTTTAGTACCACATGTACGGTACATACTGTACATGTACATGTAAATCGGTTCATGCAACTTGTGCTGTTGGGAGAGTGAACCACCAGTTCATGTAGACGTGTATGTTGCAATGTCAAAGTGAAATACAGATAATGAATGTTCAGAACATTGTAACAATTTCATGAAGGGACAGATGAAATGGTTTTCCACAAGGCAAAGCCAAGTGGAATGGATTGTTCTTACGGTACCGTCACACGATAATGTGAAACATTTGTGCTTTGTGCTCTGTGTGTGGTACGCACATGTACATGTACCAGAACTGCACATCAGAGGCTGGCTGGAAGTTATTGCTAGAACATGTACATGTATGTATGTTTGAAAGAGCCACATGTACCAATAGGTTAATGCTGCAGGACAAGATAATGAGTCAAACTCTGATTGCAAAACATGTTTCTCGTCTTGTCTGTGATTTGACACATTCACCTCAGTATGGTTGTTAAAACACTTGTCCTGTCTACAGTACATATATGTACCGGTAGATATAAATATGCGCCAGTTGGTACATGTACGTGTATGTACGCTACTGTACATCAGCAGGTATCTCCAAAATGAGCAACAAACGATGTTCTGGTACACAGGACAGAGTGTATGTCTTCCCCTACAGTGTGGGAGACTGTGTACATGTACATGCACCATGCACACCTGGATACACTGTACATTCATGTACATATACAGTACATGTACTGTACCTTGTATACTCACATGTAGCTGCTATAAAAACAACCTGGCATGGCACTCGGCTCATGCTTTAGCCCATGGAAGAGTGATGGTATGGCAGTACATGTACATGTAGCCTACTTACATGTACATGAACTCCTGAATCCTAATTGCATGTACAGACTGCAGAGAATGCACTAATTGTACATGTACGTGCACATGTACCAGGACATGCACCTGCAATTACATGTATGGTACACACTGCATGCTCATCCATCATGTCCATTAGGAAGAGCCTCCTCAAGTGTGTAATCAAGTCTGTGTCCTAAATGACCTGTTGCCGGGGTCCTGATGATGTTGACTTGGCAGTGTCAATTTGGGATGCAAGGGAAAGATGATATGTCTACTATACTTTAGGCCTGTGCCGGGTACCCGTCTGTCAATATTGAAACCTGGCTCAATTTTTTCAGCCGGATACCCATAAAAAATGCCACGTATAAAATGTTAGTGAACTTAAATTAATAGTGAAGGGCAGAATTGCTGAAAAATCAATGTGCCGCTGAAAAGCCCTGCCCCGGTTCCAGCTACTTTTGTTACAAATTGAAGGTAACAATTTGCTTGATAAAAAGGTGGGGAGATCCCCTCTTACATGTATGTATGTGCCACTTCGTACATGTACATGTATGTACGAAAAAGAGCCGTTTTGGGCACATGGTCCGTTAGGTATTACATGTACATGTATGTATGATGCCATGTTTTGAGCATTCTTTATATTTTAAGGGTGCCCGGGTACTGGTATTGACATAAAATGGGTACCCAGTTCCCAAAATACCTGTTTATGCACCCCCTACTATACATGTACATGTACACAGGCTGTATGTATGTGTGTGTACATATAATGCGCATACATGTATGTGTGCATGAATGTGTACATGTACCTGGTATGTATTATTAGAAACTCTTTCAGCCTGATCAGGCAATCTGCCTGGTCAGGTGGCTATTCTCGCAATATGATCTTTTCAGTGGTCAGGAGCTCATGATTTTTTTCCTCCCATCTGTCCTCTCATTTTGACTGATTTGCAGCCTTCACGCTGGCTATTTTACAATGTACATGTAAAATGTTAAGTTATTAAATGGACACCATAAATGTGAATGAAATTCTGTGTTGAACAACATTGCACTGATACATGTAAATAAAACCAGTACATCCTATGTGCTGAAGAGATTTACAAACAGTGTACTGGTATCCTCTGGAAAATATGTTTTTCCGCAATGAGCATTTAAAATATTTTTTTTAAATTTAAGAGGAAGGCTGTGGGCTACACATTATATGCATGTGTTCGGTGTGTTTGTTCTGAAAGCTAGTTTTCTAAAAAGTACACATCAAACCAAAAAGAGGCAAGACAAAACCATTACAGAATATAACAGACTGTTACATGTGCATTTGTACCTCACATAAAGTTCTCTGTATATGTACATGTACATTTATATAAATGAAAATTACCAGCACATGTACATGTACATGAAACTGAAAGTATCCCAGAGTAGCCAAGAGGTACATCTCACATCCATCCATATACACAGTACTTATACATACAGTACATATACATGTATATGTACATGTATATACGTTGTACATGTACATGTATATCTTGTGTAGTGTTACATGTACACTGAATATTTATACACAGTCATGTGTCTGCCAGATACCGGTAGCCCACTTACATGTATTTACCGATAGATGTGTACGTACAGTACATGTACAGTACGTATGCATTTTCAGAAGGTGGTTTTGATATGAAAATTCAAAAGGGGATGGAAGAAGGAAACTGTGCCAGTATACATGGTATACATGTACATGTATTTATGTACATGTACATGCCTTTGTTATTGTCGTATTGATGACAAAAGTCACTTCAAATCTTATCCAATAGCTGTGACTTGACATTTTCTTGAAGGCGCTTGTGACACCGGTCTATATCTTGAGGCATTTGTATGTTCTTCAGTTGTGAAACCATGCTCAGCAGAAGTTTGGAAGTTGAAGTACAGAGCATACTTTTTGCACAAGTGGCAAAATGTCAAAAGGTGATCATGATAAAAACTCCCAAGAAATTTCCCCAAATAGCCAGCCAGCATCACTAGAATAGATTTCCCTCCTGCTGAGAAATGCATGTACGGCTGTGCTGAATATCTGAATATAGGTATATTCGATCGAGCATCGAATATTCAGAAATTAATTTACAAATTTAAATATTTGAATACAAAATTCATGAAAAGGAAGGGAGAATTTTCTTTTATTTTAAAACAGAAAAATTGCACTCTGGAGGCTTGATTCAAACAGATTCAAATGAAAAGTTACAGAAATCTTACGATTCCAAAAGTAAATTACACGTATTCCTTAAAAATTTGTAAAGGACAAGAAGTATTGTTTGTCTCTAAATCTTGCCAAATTGTGGCTGGAAATACACGTGTACTTCTAGACTTGAGACGCTACAAGTATTATAGTGATTGTAATGTACATGTACAATTGTGAGCGTTATTGAAACTGATTTTGTGTATGGATTGTTTGTCAACAATCTGCCGGTTGGTACATGTACTTATGAATATTCGGATATTCGATTGAATTGAAGGTCAAATATTCAATTAGTGAATTATTTGAATTGACTCAGCCCTAAATGCATGCAGTAATATCAGTGCATGTACATGTACTGTACAGTACATGTACTTACATGTATGCATTGTACAAAATGCCCATTCGAGTAC